ACTACTACTGCTACTACCACCACAACTACGACTACGGCTCGTGCACCTACCACCGCCACTGCCACTGCCCACTTCCCACAGCCCTCTGCCAACTGCCCACTGCCTATTGCTATTGCTGCTGCTACGGCAACGACAACAAAGACGATGACAACCACAAAGACGACGGCGGAGACTTGAGACTAACTTCAGAAGACAAAGATAACCATGATAATGACGCAGACTGCGACACAAAGGCCCGCAGCGACGACCGGGACGACCAGGACGACGGCCACGAAGCGGCGGCAAGACGACGTCGACCACCGACACTAGCATTAGTACCACACTGTCGCGCTGGTACTAGTACAGTAAAATGTCGATGATCATGAGCCTTGCTAGGTTTGAGATGCCTATCACTGCTGCTTGGCTGTCGTCAGCTGGGTGGTGGTCGTGGCAACGGCAGTGCTGGTGGTAAAACTGGTAACAAGTAGCAACAACAATGGGAGGTTTAGTAGTAACCAACGTCCTGCAGGTCGTCGTCATGTGTTTGGCCTGGTGAACCATAGCCCTGAAATTGCGCAGCACCTTACATGAGCATCGTAGTTCTCAAGTCTGCGACGTGAACCTTTGAGGCTTCTCGAAGCACCTCGAACTCGGGATCCAAGACTTCCCAATTTTTTGGCCTGAGCTCCTCACCATTGCTGGCCTTCTGGCGGCGCTGAGGTCCAACAACTGCCCGCGGTTAGGAACCCCCCGTCTGAGGTTCAGCAGAGCTTTGGCTTTCGAGTTTCCTGTTGGCAGATTGCATGTCAGCTCCGTCAGCCCACATGCCAGTCGCATAATCGCAGTTGTTCGGCTCGATCTACGAAGGTAAGCGCCTGTGAGGCGAGCCGGGCGAGGGCTGGTGCAGCCTGGAAAGCGCAAAGTCACTCGAAAACTCTCTCAGCTCAGCCCATGAAAACACCGTTACATGAGCAGCCATTAGCATGAGCGTCGGAACAAGTCGAGGACACGCACGACGACGACCACGGTGGGGGATCGACGAGTACGATGGCGACTTCGACAACCGGCATAAGAACCTGCAGCGACAGACACAGCAGCAGTGGCAGCAGCACTGTCACCGAAACTCGGTGTCAGTTCCTTCCACTCCTCATCATCGTCACCATCCTCATGATACACTCTTCTGCTGCTGCAAGCTGCAACACCCGCCGCCCGTGCTCTCGGCATACATGTTGAAATAATTGGTAAAGTTGCTGTTGCCCCCCATTCTCGCAAAACCGGACCGATGCATGTACTCAAGTAGATCAGCATCGCGGCGGGACAACGCATAACGTTCGTGAAACCAATGCACCAAGCGAAACGGATCTTATCCGGGGACCCTGCACCAGCGGCAGTTTCCTGAATTGCGGTTGTCAGGGTCGGTCGCTGGACGTGGATGGGCCTGGCGAGACCCGAAGTCCAGAGCAGGATGCTCCGGGGCGCTGGAGGGCAAGTGCAATGGAGCGACTAGCAGAAAAGCCCCCAAGGCGCGTTTGGGGAATGATCTGACTCGGGACTGAGACACCCACACATCTGATCGGCCAAGGCGATCTGCGATGAAGCGGCCTGCGCAGATGGCAAGTGTCAGCCGAATCTGACGAGCCCACGTGATGAAGTTTTTTAAGGGTTGGGCGCAGCCTGTGACGATCTCCGTCAGCAAGAGGCCAAGCCCCTGCAACAAAATGCATCTGCACAGCTGTACCGAGAAGCCTGAGAGCAAACGTCGGCTGGATGTTCGCACGACAAAACTGAGGCCCGGGCCCACGCATCGTCGCCGGTTTGCTGTGGCATGCCTGCCAAGTGTTCAAGTCATACATTCTGGCACCTCCTCTGCACAGCATGGATCAATGCCGTCGAACCACGACCTTCTATTTCGGTTCATGGGGAAGGATGGTGATGATGATGTTGATGTTGATGTTAATGTTGATGTTGTTGTTGGTGATGATGATGATGATCATGGATAGGATAGGATAGGATAGGATAGGATAGGATAGGATAGCATAGGATAGGATCGGATGGCGGCACTCGTGCCCTTCGTCGCAAACGACCATCGCAATCCAGCACAGCCAAATCGATTCGAAATGGGAGCCACGGGGAACGGCAAAACCGGTTCTCCTTCAGGATGCAGCAAGGGCTTGATGTGCCGCACTACATCGCCGCGGGGGTCGGGCCAAGTTACCGTAATCCTGATACTTCCAGGGCAACGAAGTTTCGCAGCTCAACATGCATTTCCACGCTTCAAGCCGATGGCACAACGGTGACCACCTCAAGTCCCGAGACCCGCAACCAAGTCATATGCGGCCTGCAGCAGCCTCTGGCGACACATAGGGGATGCTCAGCTTGGAGTTTGCAGCTGGCCTCCGACTCCGTGCAGAAGCCCGCCCTGAAACGAAACCCGAAACAGCATCCGCCTGTCACAAAACCCCTGCTACCAAGTCATCCAGCACGTCATGGCTCATCAGTGCTCGGAAGATCTCCCTACTCTAAACTTGTCTTTCTGGCTTTTCCTTGCCTGCTGCTCAGGTACTCGGCGCAGCCGAAATTGATAAGCACCTGTTTAAACCACAGACGACAAATGTTCTGAAGCAGTTATTCTCGGTGCTCGCCGAGCATTGCCACAAACCATTCGACCAACCTGCCAGCCAAGGCACAACTTTCTCGCGCTCGCCGATCAGAACATTCTGGCACGACACCTTCCGCGTCTGCGCGATTCCACATTGCAGGTTGCGACTCCGTCGGGTCGGAGCGGCTCAAAACGACACGCATCTGCAGATGTGTCGCATCCGGTACTACTGCATCACTACTCGAAATGCAGCACCCGCGAACTCTGCACCGGGGAGGAGACGTCTCTGTGAATGATGTTGGCTCGATGTAACCTCAAACATAGCTCCCGGTCTCAACTTCTGACCCAAGCAAACTGCAGCTTTCGCACTCCAACTGACAGACTAAGCTCACGACTTACAAAGCGCGGATGCAAGCTGCGCTACGACCAGTGCCTAGCGCCGAAGGGGTTCCAGACACGAAGCCCTTCGTGCCCTCACCTCTCTCTGTGAGCAGGGCCCATTCTGCCGAGCAGCTGCTCTGTGAGGCATTGCTCCTTGCCGCCGCACGGCAACAGAAAGCGGCTCGGACTTCTGAACGAACCTGAGCCCACAGGCGTTGGATCCCGGCCCGGCTGCTGCGAACGCCGAACCAAGGCTTCGGCTCCATGATCAGACAGAGATGGGGAGGAGGTGCGTCCAGCTGCGGGAGTTTCTCCCAGTTGGCCACTACCTTAACCCAAGCGGTTCAACTTCACACGAGAGATTTGTATGTCATTTCCTTTTTGCGCACGTAAACGCAAGCTTCACGATGCGACCTGACCGTCGCTGGTTGGCTCCCTGGCATTCTGCGCACTTCTTGGCCCCTGGCATCGATGAGGCGAGGAAGATTGGGATGCTGCACCTCCTTCATGACCTCAGAAAGTTTTGCTGTATACATGTCGCAAAAAAAAAAACAGCTCCAAACAACCTGCGGCTGCAATCTCAGTACTCTTACTATTGCTACCGGTACACTGCTTGTCATCTGTATTCTTGTGCCGGATTTTCACCACCACCACCACCACCGCCGCCACGACTGCCACTGCAACTGCGACTACTACTGCGACGACTACTACCACCACCACGGTGCTGCTGCTGCTGCCGCTGCTGCCGCTTGCTGCTGCTGCTGCTGCTGCTTCGAGGGCTATTTATTCTTAGTCATGATTGGCGCTATCGTTTGTATGACTGTTGTCTCGTGTGCGTGGATCGTTGTATTCTGAGTGTTTCTGCAACAACTACATGTCAAATTTTGCCGTATGTTACTACGCAACATGGCACACTACATGACCGACTGGACAAGAATACGATATCATGTTTCAGAAGTAACGATTCCGGTAGTCTTAACTTTAGACTGAAATTAAATCACGTTGAAAAAGCTACCAAATAACAACTATGTTTGTTGTAGTACAATGAGATTCTTACGTTCAGAATTAATGAGGACTTGATTGCTGGGGTCTTGGAGTTTGGAGTCGGGAGGGTTTAGGGTTTAGGGTCTTTTGTGTGTTCTTGAAAATAGTAGAAGCATTGATACTAACATTCACATTCGTAGCAAGTATTCGTAATAGTAACAGTATGTGTATCAGTGCTTTTCCAGCAAAGGTTCCGGCCTGCACCTCCCGCCAGATTCTGCTCTCTTCGATTCCTGCCGCCTGTGCCTTCGGTTCAGAGACGTCAGCCAAGCTAGCACACGGGTGTCTACACCTGTAACACCACCCAGCGAGTTTAGACAGAACGCTCTGCAAACTTTACAAGCACTCGTGGAACTTTCTGGTGCCACCTTCTTCAAGGAAATGGCTTTCACCGCCACATAGTCCGCAGTACGGTCCTGTGCGGATCTGCCGCAACTTGTGTGCCTTCTTGGCGGCACCGCGGTTGTGCCAATTACGTGTGTGAAACACCGTCCTTGCAGAGCAGTACGCCGCCAAGAGCACTTGCAGCGGCTCCGTCCCCGCCGCCTAGCGGCGCCTCCACCGAAACGTGCGCCTGCTTGGATGTCACATCTGCACACGCGATCGCATTACGTGCATGTACTGAACATGACCCAAGCGTTCGACCGCTCCTGCAGCTGGCTCAGGTGTCTCAGCCGCGTCTCCAGGGACTTTGAAGTCCTCTCGAGCCTGTCAGCAGCTTGGTACACCCGAGGAAAATTGCAGCCGTTCGCGTACGACAAAACCTCGCCTGCCAGAACGGGAGGGCGGAGCTGCGAACGCCATGGGAAACACTCACAAAGGAGTCGCTATTCCCGGTATCTAGAGTCTAGAGACATACAGAAGCTTACAATGCTTGATACTGGAGTAGGAAGCGGTCTAATCCCCAAACTGTGCTGTCAGAAGGGCTATGACTCTGAAATAACTCTGGTGACATGCAGGTGTCCGACTTGTGCCCTATCTTCGTTCAACGTGCCGAGCACATGCACGTGGCCGGCGATTTGGATGGGAGGGCTCGGGCAGACTTCAAGATCGCGTTCGGTCCCTCAGCACTTTGCAGCAGGAATCTGCAGAATTTCACTCAAAGTTGGTATGAAGAAAATGGTGATGGCGAGCGCCACATCATGCAGGTGCTGGTACTAATGCATAAGCTGATCCTGACAACAACGAGATGCCATCACCGTGCCAGTGAACACGACCATCATGTGACCATCATGATCCAAGAATCTCAAAACCAGCCTGCTTACTCCTCCTCCTCCTACTACTACTACTTCTTCTTCTACTCCTACGGCTACGACTACGACTACGATTACGACATCGACTATGTCGACGACGACTACGACAACGACAACGACGGCGTCGAAATACTAAAACGACGACGACTATTCCTCCGGGCGAAGTTGCTGCTACCAAGTGTAGGAATGCAGTATGGAAATTTATGTAGCTTGAACTCCAGCATAACTTCTACACTCTGAGCTCCCAAAACAAGTACACCCCAAAATTCAAGCCCTGAGCCCCTAAACCCCTACACCCCAAAGTGCAAAGCCTAAACCTTGGTGCACTTGAAGAAATCTCGGTGCCGCTGCCAATCGATGGCTGGAAGCACGAGCCCGGAGGGTATCGTCAGTGAGGACCCCGAAGTCCTTCCCAGACATGTTCGCGGGGCTGAGGAGGCTGTTGAATTTCGAGCCTATGGTTTCATCTAGGGATCAGGGTGTAGGGTTTAGTTGGGTTCAAGGCTCAGGGTTGTGAGTTGAGGAAATTTGGGTTTAGGGTTTGTACTAGCCAACGTACTGACGTGGAAACTTGACCTTCGTGCTCAACCGATTCGTCTGATCACACCTACGCGTGGGCTGAAACATTGCAAGAGGGCAAGCCTCTTTGAACGGCAACATTAAGAAACCGTGCCTCTTTGCCTTCTTTCTGCTTTTGGCAAAGACTTCGTTCTTTGCTGATCTTCCTTATCATGATGCCCAGCCGTATTGGAACCTGTCTTCCCGATTGTGCGACTTTGACATGGTTCTCACTGCTGCGATTCGGCATCCACAGTTGCATGGCTGGGCCCCCACCACGAAGTGTGCGGATTGGAGCAGTTTGGAATGCGTTCAGTAGCTGACAGTTCTAGTCTTCCAAGTGTGGGGGTTTCAGTCATCGTTTCTTTGCGTCTGGCTGATGATACAGGAAGCCTGGGAGACCAAATCTTTGGAGGAAAAGGAAAAAAGCTGCCGTAGTTGCTGTTTCAGTCTCCAAAGATGCCAGAAATCCTACCGTCTTTCGGAAAGAGATAAGCGACAAATCAAGGCTTGCATGCAGGCAGCCTTCAACTATCAATCCTCCTCATTATCACCCATCGCTGCGACTCACGTGCAACCAAAGAGCCAACACTGAACTCAAACATGCATCTTGATGACTGACATCGGGTCATGCAGAAGCCAGTTTTTAAACCGTGGACTGAAGCTTCAAATGAAGCTCGCGGCGCTCGTACAGGGTGAGCACGTCGTGTAATGCGACACTCAGTGCATGCAATGGAGTCTCCTCCCACTCCGGCGCATAGCACTGTGCGAGAAACGAAATGATGCTCCTGAGCGCAAGCGGCTCGACATGGCCCGGAAGCGTTTGCAGAATCTGATCGAAAGAGGTGAACAAGTTCTGCTATTTACCTTGGCAAGCGGCAGTGCAATCAAGGACTGAGTCCAGTTGTGGAAAACCTGACAGGCGTGTAAAGGATTGGCGTGGGTTCTGGCGGTGAGCAGTGTGTTGTACACACAAGCTGTGGCAAGCAACAAAGGTATACAAAGGTCTCCACATACAATCTGAATACGCACTCGAGCCCAACGACCTGAGATCTCTAGCTAGTCTTGTTCCTACCTGTCCCGTGTCTGGTGAAGAGTCTTGCGAGGCATCATCCAACTTCAGCCAGCTTCAGCCTGCATGGTTCAACTGATCTATGGTACTTCGAGCACCTGCCATGCTGCTGATAAAGCCAAGGCCATCAGTGGGAACGACAGCCAGCTCCTTGACAAGATGCGAGGGCCGGGTAGGTAGAGGACATGGCGAGAGTATGCCGACGGAAAGCTAGGTAAAACCGCCGGGTGCCGGACTGCTCCGGCCGAGGGTTGTACCGTCGGAGCGCATAACTGGCAAGCAGGATCTCTAGCAGCCAAACAAATGTACCTGGTGACGTGCATGCCAAGGAATGTTGTAAGCTCTCCGCTCGCGTGCGTAGATACCTGCCGTGAAAGCTTCGCGTGTAGCCGCATCCAATTTTGTCACCCCAGTTCGTCCTGAAGCTACCAATCATAACCGTCAGACACTCCCCTTTGCTGTGGCACCTTTTGAAGCACGCTAAGGCCAAGCAACCACAACTGCTCAAGGTGAGATTCGCATTAAGGACAGCAACCACAACCTGTTTCAGAAGCTCCTGTGACCCAAGCGCACCACCAAAGGGCTCGTAACTGCGACGGACGAGCGCTCCTGGCATAGTACTCGAGCTTCGCTTCATGCATCGATCATGATCGAGCATTGCAGTCCATTGCACAGAGGGTGCCCTCCTCGCGCACGCGAGCTGACAAAGGCCGCCATGGCAGCTTGTGCAGCGACTTTGGCCTGCAAACACGGGCGCTTTCCTCCCCTGTGCATTCATTCGGATGCGTCGCTCACTGGTTTTGCTCGAAGCCCTCTGGGGTTCAGCTTCCCATACTTTCGGCAGAACGTGGTCGCTGAGCGGCTCCTCTCTAATTAGGACTGCAGGCACCGGTGATTCATGAGGCCTCAAGTTCCGTAGAATCATGCATGGCCTCGCACATGCTGCTCTCATGACGTAGAGACGACTCCTGCAGAAGCACAAGTCAATGAACGCACAAAGATTCATGCAATATGCAGCGTCTTTTAGGAACAACCTGCAGGACAAAGGCGGTCCCGTGTGACTCGCGGTCCGCGAGTGCGTGAAAGCAGCTCTGATGCCTGACCGCCAGTCTCGCGAACGAGGGACCGAAGCGCTGAATCGATAAATTTTACCTTCAAAGATGATACCTCTAACCTCCGTGTTCGCAGAGTGTAACAGTCTTGGCCGCTGCCTTCTCGGATCCTGCTGCGATTAATTACCGACGTGAGCGATGGTCAGCTGTGTCCCGACATGCAGAGACGGATCTTTGGCCTCGGCTCGAATCGAGGGCAGCGCCACCCTTGCGGAATACGAGGAGTTGAGGGTTGTACTATCCAGGCTTTTTCGGGTCCGTTACAAGGCGATGGACTTGGCAGGTTCTTGAGCTTGCAGGAACTTTGACTGCACCAGAGACCTCTCCTCGCGGCCAGTCGTGGAGACACTTCGAGTCGCTGCATGGCACACTCCGTCCCTTCGCTTCCCAGAGCTCTACCTTGTCTTCCGCGGGCTCTAGGGCCTATAGGGTCTTCAGGTCCACGACATCACCAGGTGTCTCCACGGGAGGGTTTGAACAAAGCTGCTCAGCATGTGCAATGCTGAGTGGAGCAGTCAGGTCAGAGCGAGGGAGCAAACGTCAAAGCATAGCTTCGCTTCTGGTAACGGCAACACATCGTCTCCCAGCTTTTGCCCACTTCTGGAGCTCCATGCGATGCAGCTGTACAAGCAGAACGCCAGTTCAGCCTGGTCACGTGCTTTGTGCCGTGATGCTTACCCGTGCTGTGGCGGTGCTCTTTAGACCTGCACTCGCTGAGTCACGCACAAGACGGATCTCTGGCGGTGCAAAAGCAAGTGCCAGGCCGCGATTAGGACAGCCCAATGGGTGACAGGGATCTGCAATTGAATTGAGTAAAGAAGCAGATTTTGCACCGGGGATCAGGTATCAAAGCGACCGTCCAAAACAGTGCCAGCCCTACAGCGAATCTTCGCTGGGCTGGGGCATGTTCAGGTCCTCAATGCCAAACCACTTTGAGCACGTGGCCCGCCAGTCTCTGGCCCGCGAATCGCCGCACTGAGCCCACAAGAGACCTGAAGATGCCAGTGGCCAGAACAGAAAAGACTGACAAAGACTTCCAGACCCTACAGATTCCCTCAGGACTAGGTCCGACTAGGCCGGCATCACAAAGCGAAAAAAGTTTGAGAGGTCCAGTTCTGCCACAGCGCATGCAGTGTGCGTCAGCCGGTGGCAGGTCAGCGCATTCTCCTTGCACGGGAGCCATTCGATGAGTCCGCGCTGCTGATCGACCTGGGGGACCACGTCGTTAGTGGGTTGGATCACCGTGAAGGCCCTCGTGAGCCTTGAGACGTCGAGGTCCCACTGATACTTCTGGAAGAGAAGGCCCGGAGGCGAGAAGCCGACTCCCTGGACGTTCACTTCCGTGGACACGGCACCAACCAAGGCGCCTCCTAGGCTGTGGCCGGTCATGATCAGGACCTGACCGGCCTTTCGGGCCTCTTCCTTGTGCCGATGCGCTGCCGCCGAGAGCCCCGCGTCCACCCTGAAACTCTTTCGAAGGCTCTTGCTGATGCCGCCGCTCGCGACTCTCTGAATTACTCCCTGTGGCATCAGGCTCAAGACGGGTGTCAGAATGCCCATGAACTGCAGCACCACAATTGAAGAATAGATCTGCAAATTTGCATAGGCATCGCGCAGGCTGGAGGTCCCCCTCACTGAGATGATACGAACATTTCTAGATGGAATCGCAACAACGATCCATCTTCCGGTAGTGCTCCAGTGCTCTACCTCTAAAAGCTCCCAATCGGGAAAGGTGCCATTCAACATCTCGCCCAGACCCTCCCGCACGTCGTCCTCGAAGCCAAAGGAGCTTGCAAAGGCCAGGATGGAGAGATCCAGGATATTCAAACCCTGCTTGTCGGCACCCCAGCTCGTTCGGCAGATGGGATATCTTGGACTTGGTGACAAGTCTGAAGTCTCGAAGCTCAACGGCAAGCCAGTGTCCAGGGTGTGGTTGAAGCCAGCAGACACCGGTCCCCACACAAGCGGCTCCAAACGGCTGGGGTTCGGCACGGCAGATTGCACGGTTCCCACCAGGAGGCTCGATGTTAGGGCTATGAAGAAGATCAGCGTGAACCAGAAAGCCTTCCCCAGCAGACGAGGTGCGTAGCTTCGAAGGGCCATCGCCCAAAGCAATAATGCAAAGAGCTCACCTATACAAATTGCATAAAGTCTGTGAAAGAAAAGAAAGAGTAACACCACCCCGATCTCGATGCAGAGACCCAGACAAGCATAGCAACATGCTCGACCCCAGTGGTTGGGCTTGTCGAAAAGCATGGAGTGAGAATCAGTGCCATGGGCACGCTTGAAGCGCCCTATGGGGCCCATGTTGTGATAAAGCTCAGACATCAGCGCATCTCTCCATGGGACATGTCCGACATGGATGTGGCAAATGATGTAGCTAAAGCAGATGCACAGTGCCCATATCAAGCCCCCCAGGCAGTATCCACGTCCAACGTCCTTGTACCAGTAAACCTGACCAAAGGGGCACACAAGCACATGGAAAGCACTGGAGGCAAAAATCCACGATTCTTCGGCGACTCCGACTAACACAGATCCATGCACTTCCCTTCCGGGGGTGGTTTCTCTTGCTTGCTGAAGGACCCCTGAAGCAGCCCGAAGGCCAAGGTGCTTGCTTCGTAGCTTTGCCAGCCGAGCACCCTATCCCCTCAGCTTAGGCTTGGCCCGTAAGGTGACCGTGCCATGCCACCGCAGCGATTTTCCGCATATATCAACAGTCAACTTCTTCAGGCGGGGCGGCATGGCATCCCCATGCTTCGAGGTCAACTTCTTCGTGGCACCCGCTTTCTGACCGGACTGCCCCCCCTGCCGTTCGCAGCAACTTCTTGGGGCCACGGTTCATCCCACTAAACCAAACTGGATCGGCCTTGTGGGTGCTCGTTGCGAATTCGACGATGGCGACAGTAATAGGCACCAGCTCGAGAGTCAGCACCTGAAGTCTGGGACGGAGCATGCCAAGACTGTGCAAACCACTGCTGTCATGTCCCCTCTTTGTTCTCTTCTGTTCTGTTCTCCGGGGCATAGAGGGCCTAAGTCCTCCGAGCCGAATGGCTTGGTAGGAAGAACAACCGAGTCCCCCGAAGGATCCACGAAGGAGATATGCAGTTGAAAAGATGTGGATGCCGGGTTTACGGATAAGGAAAAAGCTCTGGATGCCTCTGTCTCTATTCTATTCTATTCTCCGGGGCATAGGGTGCGTGCGAGGCACCCCGCGCCGACAGGCGCACCCCTGTTTCGGGGCTTTGTAGGGGTCTCTCTCTCTCTCTCTCTCTGCATGGTCTGTCCCCTCCCCTTCGCGAGCCATGAACCCCTGTGTATACTTCTCCCTCCCTCTCTCTTCTTCTTCTTCTTCTCCGGGGTACAGGGAGCATGTCAGGCTCCCCGCGCCGGATGGCGCGCCCCTGTTTAAGGGCCTTGTGGGGGTGTCGGATAAAAAGACATCGATGCTCCCTCTCTCTCTCCCTCTCTCTCTCTCGCTCCAAGGTGGGAGGCATTCCGTTTCGTGGAAAAGGGCTCACTCTCGCTAGCGCTCCCCATCGTTCGATCAGTAAGCACCACGGCTCAAACAGCGAGGCTGTAGTGTTGGTAATTAGTACGAATGCAACCGCCAAGGATTGCTTGGATGTTTCTTCCGCAGCAGCTGCTTGCAGGTGAGGGAGCCGAAGGTCTACTTGGATGGCCCCACTGACATCTGCACACAGAGACAGACAGTCACAGTCTCTGCACTTCTGCAACGGCAAGTTTCCACGTCTTAGCCCCGGCACCAAGAGACGCTCCACACGATCTGTGTGGACCTGACAGAGGCTCGCACGAGTTGACGATGCAACTCGCAAGCTGCCAATGCCCCTGCCTGTCCAATGCCACGGAGCGACGCAGTGACCTGTACATAGGACAGGCAAGTTGCAGATGTTGAAATTTAGGACCCCTTTAAGGCTACAGTGTCATGAAGACTACGACTACGGTTTCAGGGAGCCTCTAGGACCACTGGCTTACGAAAGCCCGACACTGAAATGGTCATGCTGTGGATTCTGTGCTTTTCTGTCATCTTCCCTGGGCAGAAACGCAGGCTTGAGAGCATCGAGTTCAACAGCTGTCGTGCTATGAGTTTCTGCAGTGAAGTCTCGGTGTGCGCAGCAAAGGTATCCTCTCCCGGTACTATGGTGTCACTGATTGAACGATTGAACATGTTAGCAGCAACGGCTCCTGACACGCGTGCTGTTGCCCGCTGAGTTCTGGGCCGCTGCTCGAAAGAGCCCAAAGGAAGGCTTGTCCGCGGCATCCAGACCCATGTCGATGCACTCATCCACATAGATCGCCGTCAGCAGCAAGGAAATTGGCCTCACCGGGAGCACGAGCGCATTCGTGAGGCTACCGGCTCCCCCTTGCATGCCCCTTTTAGCATTTTAGCACATCTTCCACGGTCAGCGCCCCAGCACCCCACGCAACGCTGAGGCAGAGCTTGATAACGGCGTACATAACACTCTGTCTGTGTGTGTGTGTGTGTGTGTCCAAGCAGTACTGTCGAAACACAGTCGACTTCGTTGGTAGACTCATTGCGGGTATAGTCTTCATGGCCTGGAGTTGCTAATCGAAGTTCTTGGTTCTTGGTTCCGTTTCGGAAGTCCCACAAATTACGCGTCTGACCCCGGCCACATGAGACTTTCGACAAAAAATGTGCTGCTTGTTAGCAAGGACCATACTACTTGCATGCCAAGCAACGTAAGCAAGATTCCGCCCACGATTCCGACGCTCAGTCCGCCATCCCTGGGGGCTGCCATGATGAAGAAGAAGGTTTCCTCAGCATGGAGCTGGTACGCCTTAAGAAGCTCTTTAGCATCGCACTTCGTGGGTAATGGGTCGGATACTATACTGGCCACTCCATGAAACGAGCTTCCGCAGTGAACCCCAGTGCCAGCGCCATCACCACAGCCAGGGAGAAGAAGATGTAGAACATTCCTATACTGAGAGAATATTTCGTGTGACGAACGCAAGGGTGCGACCGAAGTCCCCTAAACCCTCACACTCCTCGCATTGGGACCCTAGCAAATTATAATCTTAGCTGTTCCCTAAGGATTATAAGAGCCAACGATTCAGAATTATTTCTAAGTACCCAAAGATTCCACGCAGCCGCACGGTGGTTTCGTACCAATGTCGATGCAAGCCTCAGCACAGCCAAAAGTCTGAAGTTCATCATGCTGGGAAAGGAGGATGTGCATGGACCCATCGGCTCGGACTCCGCACTGCCGAGTGGCTGTCATCCGGGTGCATGAACTGCGAATCTTTCGAGCCGGCCTTCTGCAAATACTTGTTCCGGCCAGCTTCCTCCGACTCTTCGAGTGCAGGTTCGCCAGTTTGGTCACTGCGGGACTCCAGGTCCGGTTCTAGACTCTCGGCTGCATAGCCCTGCTGCGACGGGGACATGGCAGTGGGCAACATACTACCGCACCGCCCCGCGCCCGCCAGCGCGCGCCACGCTCCACGCCAAGCGCGGTGGAGGCACACGACCACTCCGAGGCAGCCAAGCTTGGAGCCGGTCAGGCCGGACCAAAACATGACAGGTGCTTCCACATCACTCACAGGCAGTATACGCCGTATACGCAGTGGCTGCTCGCCGTCATGGTGTGCCTTCAATGGAAAGTCTCCAGAGCGCCTCTTTGGCCCGCCGTGCGGTCCTCTGTCCAAGCGATGTGTCCGGTGCATCCTCACAAAATCTCACAAAATTCACGGGGAAACGCTGCAAACCCTATGTCCACACTACATTTTCTCACACACAACGACTTTCCAGTCACGTCAGTCGTTTCCCCGAGATGTCGAAACGCCCAGAGGGCTGCAAGCAGTCTTCCATAGCAAACGAGTCGAGTGAACCTGGCGAACCTAGTGTCTTGCAGCACAGCTCGTAGCCAAATTGTTTCGTTTCTTTCCTCAGACCGACGAAGTTTGAGATTCAACATGACACCCTGCAGGCTGTGCTGCGATAGCCAGGCACACGAGGCTCACTCGGCAGTGCTAACGCTGCTTTGCTGGCCTCAAGTACATCAACCAGCAGGACTACAAGCCACGTAAATCAAGTGTAAGCAATGGATAAGAAAGAGAGACAGAGGCGGACAAGGAAGGGGTCAGTTAGTGAGGGAGCAGGAGAGGGAGAGGGCGAGGGAGAGGGATAGAGTGCGGCGGAGAGAGACAGAGAGAGAGAGAGAGAGAGAGTGAGTGCGAGAGTCAATCTCTGCTGATTCTTGTTGGGCTGCCCGCCCTCACTTTAGGGTTGTTTCCCTTCCTTAGGCCCGAGCTTTAAACTGTCTATGCCGGGAAGTCGTCATCGCCGAAGACGCACTCATCATCGTCATCGCCATCGTCCTGTACCAGGGTGGCGAGACTCCCCCAAGACCGCTCATCTCCGCATGGGCCGGTCCAATGTTAACTGAGCTTCAATGAAGGTGTGCTGCCGGCTATCGAGCTACGGGGTGCATCTTCAGTTTCAATGGCACAGTCAAGATCGATCGATGGACCGATCGATCGACCGATCGATCGATGGATCGATGGATCGATGGATCGACGGACGGATGGATGGATGGATGGACGGATGGAGGGATGGAGGGAACGAGGGATGGACGGATGGACGGATGGAGGGATGGAGGGACGGATGAATGGATGCATGGATGATCATGGATGCATGGACGCATGGACACAGGGATGTATGGATGTTTGTGTATGTGT